TACGAATGGCACCGTGAAATCACGGGGCGGCGCGGCTTCTTCGTGACACCAAAAATAGGAAACCGCTCGCATTATTTTTCCGGCGCAAGTGCGCTCGCTGCTCGCTCGATACCCAAGTATAAAAGCGAGAAATGAAAATAGAGCGCCCGACGCGGATGCCGCGCGCCCCGTGTCGGCGATCCGAGCGCATGAGTGTGTCGTCTCGGGACTACTATAAGTATTACAATTGTATTTCTAATGTATGGCTATTAATAATAATGAATGATAATCATTCGATCAGTTGGTTTGGCGTTATACTTTATTCTCTTATTTGACAAAGCGCATACTTGTAATAAAATAACGACGCCGCGTACCTCCGAGGTTCGCGCGTCTCACTATTTCATTGGTTGTTTTGGAAATACAAAAATATTCGCGTCAAGGTACCTTGCCGCGGGTGATGTATATGTATATGTGTATCATCATCGTGATGGGCGCTCATGTTTCGTAACTACACCGATCGACAAGCCCCGGCTTTCTAAATATCCCAATTAAGTATAGGTACTTATAACTTGTACATATTCATCACATCGACAGAAACTGCACCAGCTCTTATCTTCTTCTTTACGCGCGCTGTACTTTTAGCCTTTTAGCCCAATTCCCTACTTCTCCAAAGCTCCATTACGTTTGTCACTTTGCGGTCCAGAGCCCGGAAGAATATTTGTATAGGTGTATGACGCTCCCGCGTGGATAAGCGAAAAATATGCTGTGCTTCCGTACTTACTATATCACCCGTTAATTTAAGCAGCTGCGTCTGACTTGACCTATTTTTCATACGTTTCACGGCGTCTCGAGTCAGTCAAGTTTCCCACCAGAGTGTGTCCCGTTCAGTTTCGGGTTGTTAAAGGGGGCACACCGCCTCTGTTCGCTTTCCACGTATATATAGATATTGCATTTTTCGAAATAACACGACGCGCCTGTTCCGGTGTTTTCTGTAATTTTTCGTCAAACATTAAACCCACGCGGCGCATTTGTCGTTCCTGAGCTGTTATCTTCCTACAGAGGAAACGATCGAGGAAAATTTTTTTAATTCATTGCCAAAGTCGAGGCTACCGAAGTAATTACTTGGGATTTTTCTTTTATTTTTTTGGTTTGAGGAAATTTGTTACTGCGTGCTTTGACTTGATGTTTATTTGTTTTTTTTCCATACCTGTTAAAAATTCATGAGTAAGTTCAATGTACCGTGCATCATGGGTTTTCGGTAATTGTTAAATTATCTGGAGTTAATAAGGCATTGGGCGATTAAATTGACCAAACTCCATGGACAATATGGCAATCATTTTAAAAAACTCCTTCCCTAATCATGGGAAAAACCCCAACCATTGATTGCTTTCACGCAGGTATGCTTATCAATACGATCTCGTACTCGATTAAATGTTTTTTTATTTTATTTTACAATCAGAAGGCATGATTGGACGTGAAATAATGCAAATCAGCATTCGAGGCGCTGTTTTCACGCGCCAGCCTTGCGATGATTAACGGCACAGAAAGCCGGGCGAGCGAACGCGGAAGTAGTACATATAATGGTATGTATATACACGAGGGTCCGGCAGCAGCGGCTGGAGGAGGTGACGTAAACAGAAATTCGTCGAGAGAAATCTCAGTGCACATACCGAGCTTTTATATACTCTCAGCCCTTGACTTATATACTCATATATACTCGCTTAGCCGTTACGGGTTTCTGTAAGTATACGCGTGTACGTTTCGATCGCCTTGGTATCTCTTATAGTTATGACGAAAGTCCCTCGCTAATTTTTCTTTTTTTTTTTATAATAAATAGAAGTAATGAAATGCATAATCTTATTTAAAAAGATTATTTACTTGGCACTAAGTATTCTACCAAATGTTTTCTTGACTCTGAGAAATTTCCTTTCCATGTGTACACGAGCCAATATGAAATGATGTTTTATTCAAGCTGGGTAAGAGGCTTTTATACAATGATCGACTGATCGTCGAGTTCATTTGCGACGATAAAAGTTTACGTTTACATTACAAGTACCCTGATGGTTTGACCGTGCACAAACCAAATCAATATTCGACGATTTGTATATTTTACATCCTCATTCCCAGCTGTAGCCATTCAATAAAAATGATTACTTTCTAATTACTGTAAGAGAAAGGTTAAATATCGCTTGAGAAAAATCTGAATAAGACGCTGGCGGATTCGATCGGGATGATGTACCTATCTAAGGTTATTATCGCTTACTTGCTTCAAGTTGGTAGAAATGTAAAGGATAGATCAAGTTTTTTTATGCTACCTAAATGTTTATTATTTTCTAAAAAATGACGCTAATCTGCATCAGCAGCGTTTAAGAAAGTTGATACCATCACTTGAGAGTACCAATACGCAGAGAGAAGTAGGTATTGATTTCTCTCTATTGGTTGATAAAATCAATGTACATTTGCAAACTTATACATTAAGTACAGTCAGCCATGTGTTGTAAGTATTTTGAGCAAAAAAAATTCACTCGAAGTGCTTATTGTTCAATTTTTTATTTATCTATATTATTTTCCATTTAAAGACACAGTTGTGTTAACTAATGTTAATTTAATGCCACGACAACAATAATTGAAATAATAACCGCGGCCATGACGTACGTGCGTTATATGTAGGTATAGGTATTACGAGCGCTTTCACTGAAAGTCACTGTCATGTGGCCAACGAAGACTTGTGGGCGCATGGAAAGTATAAGTACCTATACCTACATAATAAATATGAACTTAAAAAAAATTAAGGTGTCGAAAAATTTTGTGTACGCGAACCCACGTTTTGTGCGGTGGCTATGTATACTTTCCTGTAATTTTAGTGAACTTGGGTTCTCAAATGAGTGTTTCACCAACCAAATCCATTAATGAGAGTTCCAAACCCGAGACATGAAGTGTAATCGATCGTACAAACCAAATAAATATTCATCAGAAAGTGAAAAGTTGCGTGAAAGGAGGGGGATGGCCAGGTAATTTTAGGAAAAAATGTACAACAGTCACGTGCAGCCGATTCGTGAAATGCATAAGGCAATAACGGTGACGAAGCTCCAGGTAGCTTACTTTTATTATTACCGCAACGTACGTCTGTGTTTCATCTTTGGAGTGGCTTTGCTCTCCCTAAGCGCCGATGCGCGCCGTGCGCACGGTCCGGCTGGGTATCATATAGTTTTCATGACGAAATGACATGTTACCGTAATCAAATTATTATACACAAAGGGAGAAAACGAGCAAGCGTAGCCTTGCAGGAAGTTACAGCTTGGTTCTGAAAGCAAGGCAGTACTTAATTGCCAACACTCTTCGAGCGCGCGGGTTCCGGAGACCAGAAAAAAAGGGGGAAGCCGAGTAGGTACATATTATTACCTACATATCTCGAGTCAGCCGACTCGGCGACGGTCGAGGTCGAGAACGAAAATGCAAATTGGGTACAGTACACATAACCGACCGGGCACTGTCGCAATCTATTGCCCCACTGTTATTCTATTAGGTGACGGCATTTGCAATTGTATTTTGTCAAAGATAAGGTAGGGGAGACAACGTGAGCTGTTGCCGCGGTGGTGCGACAATTTAATTTTGTTGGAAAATTTTTCAAACTCAACTCGCTTACGTTAATAAACATGTCACGACAGAGATAAGTAATCCAATGTGGCTAGTTTGTTGTTTTTTTTTGTTTTTTTTTTTTTTTTTTTCACACCATAAGGTAACTGGCTTGTTTCTTCAACAAATCACGCCAACGCCAACTAACAGAGACTGGTATATCGTAATTTGCTTTAATNGAGACAACGTGAGCTGTTGCCGCGGTGGTGCGACAATTTAATTTTGTTGGAAAATTTTTCAAACTCAACTCGCTTACGTTAATAAACATGTCACGACAGAGATAAGTAATCCAATGTGGCTAGTTTGTTGTTTTTTTTTGTTTTTTTTTTTTTTTTCTCAAAGGAATTTCGAAATTATTTTTTTCCATGACTTTTTTCGTCGAAAGAAACGAGGAAAAGTATGGCGATTTCATGAGCGTAAGACTTAAACAAGCGGCTACTTGTCATTTCGTTTAATGTAAATGTCGGTGCAATAAATCAACACGGAAAGTTGTAAAATTGAAAGCAACCACTCGGTAAATTGTTTTAGCAAAGATAAACACTCGGACGCCGAGTACACCTACTGTTCCCGGTAAATCTCGAATGGCCACTTTGTACTGAAATTATACATCTTTGGAAGCAAATATTTAAAAAAAGTTACGCCGTGTACGAAAGAGCGCCATGCTTTTTTGTGCACACGCACCATATCAGCCATCGGAACGTCTAACGCGATTGCGAGCACCTGATGACAGTTGGTTCGAGTATGGTTAAGAGCGGTGCGAAAGTTTTTTATTGCAAAGGAGAAAAACACGTCTGAAAAGCATTTACATGTACTAAACGCATACTTCTCTTGCCCTTGGCATCTAGCATTTGAGATGCTGTTGCCTGCTCTTTTTTTAACATGTATAACTTCTCTTGATAATAACCAATGTGAGGCATTGTAAAAAAGTAGTTACATGTTTACTTGAGCAATTTGACTTTCTCTTTATCTCGCATCGTATGGAGGGTCCTGAAACTGCATCACAAGTCTTGCCATATTGCCACAAATGTTTTTTTTTTCCCTTCGTTAAAAAATTACCATTTTCGTACCAAAGAGGAATATCAAAATGGTGATTGTACAACTTGGAAAAATTTTTTCAACCTATACGTATATGTATAATAAATAACAAATCAAATAATATTTAAGCGGCATAGTTATATTAGCGATCTGTCAGTTTTTTTAAAATAAAAGTAATTGGCAAGGTGTGCCCGAAGCAAAGGCCTTTGTCGACCGAGTGAAGGAGCGAAGTGTATTATGAGCCCTGCTCGAACAATAATCGAGAAATAAAAATAACGTAGGGATGAATCGAACGTGTATGTCTATATTTATATGTATATGCGTAATTGATAAGTAAGTCTTTGGCTCACCGGAGAGACTCAAAAAGTGTAAGATCCAGAGGCCCAGCACGATTTTGCCGATCATCTCATGGCATGTGCAGCTTCCCGGCCAGTCCACAAGTCACTCAATCATCGGAGCCACATAGCACTTTGCAGGCACGAGAGAATCGGTACTTATGGCTCCTTTTATCCGCGCAGTTCAGCCCAGCAATTATTACTCTTAGTCCATGTAAAAAGTTTGAAAAACCGATGATCGTATGGAGCAAATTACATACTGGGTCGCCATCACAGCGTGATGGTCCAACGACACGTGACGCACATCAGACAGGGTGCGTAAAACAATTGGTCCAATTGACAATTGGAAAGTTGAAAAGGCGGATGAACTAAGAGGCTCGAGAGACACACAGTCATGCGTGGCAAAGAGGCGCGCTGGCAAGCCAGACGGTGACTGGACTAGCATCAGGTTGAGGCCAGCCCGGCAAGCAGGCAGGTAAACATATACAAAGGAGAGAGTCGGCAGCGGTGATGGTTTTCGAACGAGCGCACCTATATATATATATATATGTCGTGGATTGGCACGCGGGA